CTAATTTTTTATTACTTTTTATAGAGACAGGGTCTGACTATGTTGCTGAGGCAGGTCTTGAACTACTGGCCTCAATTGATCCTCCCATCTCAGCCTCCCAAAGTGATGGGATTACAAGTGTGAGTCACTGCACCTGGCCCTCACCATACTTTGATAGGTTAAAATTGAAGGGAAGATAACAAAACTGGACTAACATGTAGTACATTAATTTATACATCACTTGCTGTGTCATGTAGATGAATTATGTACCCACTCTGAGCCTGCTTTTCTCATTTGAACAAGAGAGGGAGCAAGGGACAAGTACCAGAGAGGGTTTTGTGATGATCTAAATGAGATAATTAATGTAGGGCCTGTGGGAGTACCCTCAATCATAATTGATAATAAATGCATGAGGGAGGGAAGGTATAAAGGAAGAAAAGATTTTGGTTGCCTCTGTTTGCTACAAGGAAATTTAGCACACACACAAACATTAGCCAGAACACACGAACACCTGTGTTCAGAGACGTGCACCATTTAAATTGTCTCCCCAAAGCACTTAAAAAACCCAACCGTATTGCTAATTGAATGTACATCAAAGTACATCATAGGAAGCATGTTAATATTCATTCCAGTTTGTTACATGTTAGAGTTAAGGATCTATTCTGGGCAAAGAAAGTATTTAGCACATTGCCGATTTTATAAGGCATGGTGATTTTTCCTATAATAACAAAATTGTTACAGGTTTTTTGGTTGCTTTTTTGGCACAGTGTTGATCATAATTAGTACTTTTTGACACCAATTCCTTGGTTAGGAAACAAACCCAATTCTAACATTTTTATAATTTGTTAAGTGTCCTGTAGGAATATTTTAAAGCCAAATGTGTAAGCTACTTGTATCAGGTTAACTTAAAGCAGTCACCTCCTATAATAGCACTGCTCCAGGCGGTTCCTTCCCAGGACACCTGGACAGTTCCCAGGTGTTGTTACCTCTAACTTTCCAACTCTACAGCCTAACTCTACCAGCTTTGCCCTCAGCCCGTCACTTACCCCTCATATGGAAAGAATTAACACATTTAATTATAAACATTAAAATATTTGGCAACATGGAAAAGAGCTGAGTGGTGTTGAAATTGGAAGCTCAAATCGTGAGAGAATGGAACATAGTACATCATATTTTATGATACACGCCGTATTCCATCTAGAATGTGAAGAGTTTTTCAACTTCCAGGACAAATTGTGTTTGGTTGTGTATTTTACACTATCGTTCTGTAATAAAATTTTGTTGACTGCCAGTTTAATATTATCAACTGGAGCAAACTTTTCTCTTTTCATCAATGATACTTCAGGAAATAAAAAAGGGAGAAAGAGAGAACGCTGAATTTAACTAGTTGCTTTCCCAGAAGCTGTAAGGTGGTGTAACACCCCCGGTGGCGTACAAGAAGAAAAAATTAGAGCTTCTTTTGCATTTTATCTAACACTTTATCTTTTTACTTTTATCTGTTTAATGATGCACATAACTAATACAGATATATATATTTAATCAGTCATATGTTTGAGAGGAGTGACTACTGAAGAGAAAATTTTATCAGAATGCATAATTTTAAAAGTTCAAGGACCACTCCAGAGGACATTAAAGGGGAGAGACTCACTCTACATTCTGAGGTCATTTATTAGGGAAAAAACATGTTAAAGAAAGGAAAAAAATATTTTATTATAACATTTATTTTACATTTTTCAAATTAAATTCCTTTATGTTAAGCTTCATATTGTTTCTCTGTCATTTGAGGAGCTTAAACTAGTTTTATGATTTTATTTGTGCCCGTTCATGTTATCTACACTAGTTAATAATTAGCAGAGTAACAACGGAAGAACAAAGAGCACATGAGTGTTGTGTTGTTTACTAATGTGCTCTTCATCGCTAGAGAGTCATTCCTGAAGTGACTCACACTTAACAGTAATATTTTGTTGGCTGTTTCTTATTTTCGTCATCATGTTGATAAGCTGTAATTAACTTTGTTGATAAATGACGGTGTAATCATTTTAAGGGTTTATGTGTAATATATGAGTACTTGAATTGGGTTTATAGAATAAGATAGTACAAAGCTTCCTCTTTAAAATGTGATGTGAATTACTTTTGCCTGCAGCTCATTTTGAAAGAAGATTGGTCTCCTTTGAAGAAGTAATTGACCTTGGCTAGGTCCAGCGTAGAGTGTGTTTTACTAACTACTCCATCATGAGATTGGCTTCAATGTGTCAACACAAAATTTGTGACAAGTAGAACAGTTTTAGTAAAATTGACATGTTATAGTAACAGAAATTATATTAATTCAAAATTTATTTTCCTTTTAGTTCACAGGAAGATGAAAGACCTATATCACCTTTCTATTTGAGGTATTTATTTGATTTTTGTTGGTCTGCTACAGGGAATGGAGGAGGGATAGGGCTTCTTTGGGTTTATTTGCCCATTTTAATCCTTTTTCGATAGCATATTCTATACTGTGGCCATACTAAGCTTGTTGGAGCTCCTCACCCTATTGGTCATGCTGTATTTTCCCTCTCTTTGGTTTAAGAAATATTTTTTAAATGTTTAATATGATTGAAAACAAGATATTTTGTTTTAAATTCAGAAATACCAAGGGGACCATTTTAATTTTTAAAACTGACTTATAATTAGGCTTTAACCTAAATTAGAAATCTCTACTCTGTACCTATAGGCAGGTGAGAGGGGAGGGCAAGCACCAGGTCCACTCTCAGAAGCAGCCTTGGGTTATGTTAGATCGTTTTCTGTGCGGTAGAGGAGTAGGAAACTAAATATTCTGCAGGTTCATGGAGTTCAGGATTATTTCATAAGCTTATAAAGACACGTAACAATGATTAAAGCAGGTGAGTTAACTGAATTCACAGTAGATGTTAGATAAGATCACTTCTCTCCGGTGACTGAATGCTTACTGCACCGATGTGATTTTTCAGCGAACCATCTGGCTGAAGTATAACCTAGAACCACGTCTTCCTTTATCGCATTTCTTTCCTTGCTATCTACCCACTACAAAGGCTTAGAAAATATGTTTGAAAAGTATATAATCGTGTAAATTTTAAATGATGGGTTTTTTAATCTTTCCTCAATTTTGAAGTCTACTGCTCTTTAAAAGGAATGTTGGGACATGGGATTGATAATTTATTTATTTTTGGGTCTGATTTGTTGTAATCGTCCCACAATTGGATTTAGAGTATAGTTCTAAATCCAGGAGTTCAGAAATGTGTCATAGGACTTCACGCTTAGCCAAGTAACTGCGTTTCGGTAGTGTTCTGCCCTTTAGCGACTTGCAGCATATCTCATCATCACTTTGTGGCAGGATCGGGAACATTTGAGGTTTCGGTTTGAGACAACATGGTGGTCCATTTTTTTCAGCCTGGTTTCCTGCCAACCAAATTAGCATATCTTGGTTCTTAGGCTATCTCAACTGCGTAATTACTGTGAACACATAAGGATGTTGTTGCTGAGTACATAGTGATTCTGGTATTCATTATATAAATAGTAATATCAAATGATTATTATATATTAAAGGAAATTAGGTTTTATACAATATGAGAAACTGTAGCATTTAATTATGCCAACTAATGAGAACCATTTCTCTGAATGTCTTTTTATTTCTCTGGGGAACATCTGTCTGTGTTTTACATAGTATTGAATTTTATTTTATTTTGACTGTGGTTTTATAAAACAGATGGGGAAAATGAGTTTTTAAGTCTTAAGTCTTCAAAGAGAATTATATTTTATAGTGTGAAAATTTTTGTAATTATCTGGACTATAATATTTGACTAATAATATAGTCTTTAAAAAGAAATTCTTTCCTTGCAAATGAAAGTAAAAGAAAATAGAGTAAAAGAAAATTAATAATATATTTACTAAGCTCTTGATAGAAGCTGTTTGACCTTTTCAATGTTAAGAGTCATAAAAACTAAAATATAAAATTAGGGGCGGGGCAAGGGCAACATACGTAACCTAAACATCTGTACCCCTATAATATGCTGAAATAAAAAAAAAAAGGGGGGGAAACGAATGTGCCTACTAGACATTTACAATAGAAAAAAGAAAAGTTACCAGCAAGTATTCTATTTCATAAATGCAAAAATAGTAATTATTTGAGGTAATTATTTAGCCTTAAATTAAAATTTCAAAAGTGGTTTCTTTTTCTGAAGAACATTATTAGAAATTATATAAGAATTGGTACAAGTTAATTTAACTTTTTTTATTACCCACTTATCATTAAGCAGGGAGAATCTACTGGTAAAACATGAACTTTTTTTTCTTTCAATTATTTACATGGCTGGTTTGAGATAGACTTTACTTGAGTTATTCTAACACATAGTATTTAAATAGAAGAAAGAAAACACAATTATGATTAGGTTCTTTAGGTTTTTTTTAATCTAGAAATATGACATGTCCACTGATAAACAATTTATAAATGAGTGCACTTTTTTATACAGTACCTCTAGTAATAGCAAATAAATGTTTAAATGTTTAAATGTATTTAAATACGTTTCTCTAGCTTTCTTGTCTTCTTTTCCCAGCCACTTTATTACTTAGGATTCCTTTTGCAGTGTTCAAAAGGGAGTTATTGCAAAACTCATGAATTTCATAATGATTTGTGAATATGATGAAAAACTACTTTGGCTCTTTTAAATCCAAAATAATATTAACTGTGTCTTTGAAAAACAAAAAGTAATGGGTAGTTGCAAAGTGCTATCTTCCCTGCTTAGGAATGTTGAATATTGAATGTTGTATACTATATTTTGATAGTGTTGATTGGTCAAGTTTTTATCAGAGAAAAGGACCAATCAAGAGATTGGTCTCAGATGGATACTGACTGGAAGTAGATCCAGCCACAAGCAGCCAACAGTGGGGATGGAGTATTCAGTTTGGTGCTTAATTCTGAAAAGTCCAGCATGAAGTAGAACAGCAAACTCAGTGGCTACAAATCTGTGAGTGGGCAGCCTTGAGAGAGAGAGCAAAGCAGAACAGAAGATAAGGGCAAAGCAGGCCTCCAGTCTCAAAGGGAGAGGAGTAGATGATCCGTAAAGGCACTCAGGTGCAGGAGATCACACAGGGATCCAGCTACTGTAGTGGAGACGAGGTGGATTGTTTATAACAAGACAGAGTCTGTGTCTGGGATAGAGGACGGAGACTGAGAGCACATGAAGAGGCCGCAGTACACACTGGTGGAGGTCCCAGGACCTTGCTGTGGCTGGGGAAGAGGGTGGGATGCAGGAACAGGGAACCAGAGAGGCTAGTCGTTACCTGCTCTGCTTATTACCTTACAGAATTTCAGTTTCTGTAACTGGATATTCTCTTTTTTTTTTTTTTTTGAGACAGAGTCTCACTCTGTTGCCCTGGCTAGAGTGAGTGCCGTGGCATTAGCCTAGCTCACAGCAACCTCAAACTC